CTTAAATAAGAACAAATTCACCCTCAAATCATTTAACTTTTTTTCAATATAATTTCTCACATTCACAACTAAACAATTGCACTTTTTTTTTTTATTAATTTACATGGATACATGCCGGTTCGCATTCGATACTCATCACATGTGACCAAATCATGGCCTTTTATTTTATCTTAAAATGATCTTTTCTGTTTATTTTGAATTAATTTTTAAATATTTTAAATATTATATGTATTAATATGAAAATTATAAAAAATTTTAATGTTAAATTTGGATTGTCTAGAATACATTTAGATTATATGTAAAAATTATAAAAAAATTATATTAAATAGTTATCCAGATTATACCTAAATTGTCCAAAATATATTCAAACAATTAAATTATTAAAATTATAAAAATTTTAATATTAAATTAGACTTGGATAGTCAGATTAAATCTATACTAGCCAAATAAATAATAAACAAATTGATTAAAAAATTTATATTTTTAAAAATTTATATTTTGATAAATATAATTAAAAATACAAAATTTTAAATTTGGATGGTCTAAATCTTGTTAAGATAATAAGAACCATGATTCTCATTCTTAGATGAGCATGAAAGACAGTCCAGATTTAACATCAAAATTTTTATAATTTTTATATTAATAAATATAATATTTAAACATTTAAAAATTAATTTAAAATAAACAGTAAAGATCATTTTAAATGAAATAAAATGCCATGATTTGGTCACATCTTGATGTGCCTTCGGTGCATTGAATGTGAACGCACACGGATACAATCAATACTTTATTATCCATATTAACAAAATTTAACAGTGTTACTTTCTTTTTAAATGATTAGGACCAGATAACTGAAATAAATTTAAAAAATTAAATTAATAAAATTTAAATTTAAGAGATCAAATTAATAATTAAGATAAATTTAAAAGGTTAAAACTTACATTAGCCTAAAAAAATTTATATACTTAATTTTATATACTTAAATCAAGAAATGTATATCATTTATAGATTATTTATTTTATAATAAATTTTAAATTTTTATTATTAATATTATTAATGTATTAAAATTCAATTATTATTTTTTTATTATATAAAAATAGATTAAGTATATAAGGCTAAATACTTAATCTTTTCTTGTAAAAAATTTTAACAAGACAAACTACTTATCAGATATGGATAGATTGATTTCTCAAGTTCTGTACTATACACTATATATACTATTTCATTTTAAAAATTAAAGAGCAAATTATAATGTTTATATATAATTTTATTTTTTAATAAGTCAATAAATGAAAATATTTTGATTCTTCTAATTAAAAAAATGATAAAAATATTAAAAGTCATTCTGGAAGCTTAGCAGGAACCATGAGGCGTGAGTCGCAGTGCCTTCAGGAAATTCCTCCTTCGCTCTCTCACTCTCGCTATCTTGTTTTGGTTATCTCTGCTGCGAAAGGACGAATTTGAATGGCTTTAGCGATCAGTCTCCCTAATAACCTGCTTCTGTGCAAAGCCTCGCGTCGCAAATTTCCGGTAAAGTCGTACTCTCAGATTCAGACCAAGAAGCGATGCTTGCGATGTAATACTCTTTACTCCGATCAAGACAATTCCCCGATTGCTTGCTCTTTCCATGGCCACGCCAACGGTATGCTTTCTCATCTACTCGCTTCTTCCGATGACAATCCAATATTTCTCCCCCAATTTCGCTTCCATGTTCTTTTCGTTTCGGTCCTTACTCAGCAGCCACTGATTTATGATATTTAATCGATCTGTTTCTGGATTCTTCTTTTTGCGATTTCCGATCTCTCTTTGCAAGACTATCCTTGGAAAACTTTACACAAAAATTTCTATCTTCTTGTTGTCTTGTCTTGAAACTTATTCCTGCTTGGTCCGTTTGATATCTGAACCTTGTTACGGAAATTACGTCGCAATCTTCTACACTCCCCGAAATTCATCAATTTTCAAAGACTAAATTAGTGCTCTGGCCTCTTGGTATTACAAGTGTAACTTCTTTATTGGTCATAAGTATCCACTAACTTGTTTGGAGTCAATCCTGTTCCAGTTACGGTCGACCACTAACATGCTTTTAATAATTTTAGTTATTTTTAAATTTAATGATATCGTTTAAAACCATATATATCAACGTATTATAAAAATTTTGGATTATTTTGTGGGTGTTTCTTCTCTGATTTACTGTATAGTTTTCTGTTTTTTTTTTTATTTTATTTTATCAAGTTGGTTTAAAAAGTTGGATTTGGAGTAGCAAGATTTAACAAGAATCTATAAAGGTATATATCATCTAATCATTTACAACTTATCAGAATTAATAAAATTATGCACTTCCACCAAAAAAAAAAAACATTATGCATTTTAGTTTATAAGATCTGAAACATTTGCTTAGTTACAGACAATGAGGATAAACTGTTCTTACTTCTTACTAATCTGAATCCCATACCAACATCAAATGAGCTTGCACGGAATTTTGAGTTTGAGTATGTGTCCCAGATAGACCCAACAATGTTTGATGAGTTTGATTGAGTCGGATTTCATATAAAAACATCGCTAGAACTTACAGCTCGAACAACTATTTCAGGTCATATTGGGCTTGTCTTCAGCAGAAGCCCAGCCAAACTAGCCCATGGAGATACCTAAAGTTGTGTCGTTGTTGCATTGCAGGAGACAAAGGGTTGTTCTCATTTTCGCCACCACACCAAGGGATAGATGGGGAGTGGACATACGAATCAGGAGTGATTGTGTACAAATGGAACGACAGAGACAACAGACCCAACACTGGTCGCTCCAATTGGAAGAGACGATGGAGCTGTTGTGCTGAGTACGATGAGAATGCCCCTCCTTGTAGACGAGCCTCCCATGTTTCATATGACGATGGTTTCACTTTGTATTAGTTCTCTCTAATCTCTCTGACTCTAACACAAACACCTAAAAATTGAAGACAATGAGGCTGCTGATTTATGACGGTGCTTGTGAGTTTTCTTTGTTTTGTTTGGTGGTTGTGAGGCTTGATATATAGAGTACTCAATTAGGGTATTGAAAGAACACACAATCAATATAATTTAATCATGAAACAGACCCCACTTAATGAAAAAAAAAAAACTATTTGTTATTGTTGTTGTTGTGAGTAGGGCTGCACAAAAGACTGGACGGTACTGGACTTCACCCTAACCCAAAGTCCGGTCTCTTTCATGAAAAAGACTGGGTTAGGCAACCCGTAGTCCAGTCTTGTCCAGTAATAACCCGAAGATTAACAGGACCGGACTTGGTCCATAGGACTGGGAGACTGGTCCTGTCAGTCCAGTACTCACTTAGCTTTTTTTCCCTCTTTTTATTCTATGAGAGGCAATAATCCATTCCAACATAATAAACTCAATTAAGATAGTAAAAATACTTATAATAATAATAAATCCATAATAATTTCTAACAATAAGAAAAAAAATATTTTTGTTATAGTCTAAATTATTTAAATTTATAAACTTTAATAAAAACAGTACTCAAAAAATTCAACAACACTATATTACAATAACAATTTAGAAACAAACTTAATAAATCTTTATGCAATCATCTCCTTAGCATCAATTACACTTTAAACATTTGTCAAAAATAAATTAATTATAATTATAATAAAAAAAATTAATAGGACTGGACTGGACCAAGTGGTCCGGATGCCTGGTCTCTTGTCCAGTCCAACCCGAAAAAATAGTCTGGTCTTTTTAGTCCTTTTGGTCCTGAAGGACCAGTGACTATACAGACCGAACAAGACTGAGACCATCTCGGGTTGGACTGGACCAGACAGGATTGGGAGACTTTTGCACAGCCCTAGTTGTGAGTCTTAAACGAGTAATAAAGATGTGAAGAAGCTGGCCAAAAAAACGAAGATGGGGAGAAGATATTGTAGTTTGTGTTGTGAGGATTATCGCCGCAAACAGTAGCGGGTTTTCCCCCTAAATTTTATACATAAATGAATTATTTATTCTATTTTATTAGGTAATAAAACTTATTTGTTTTATTGTAAGAGTCAAAAGAGAAGGAAAAAAAGACATAATTGTTTTAAAATAAAAACTAGTTTAGAATTTTTTTTAATAATAAGGGTAATTTAGTCTAAGTTTAATTTTCTTTTTCTCTCCTCTACTCCAAACCCTAATTTGGAGAGGAGGGGAGGATATCTCTACATAATTTTTTGATATAATTATCCAATTGAGTCAAATTTGTCCGGGCTTAATAGAGGGTAACTTTCTCAAATGTTTCACACAAATTTGAGATCTAGTGCTTATGTGACCATAATCATTTTACTAGGACCAACGCGTGTTCATTTCAATTTTTAAACCAAGCAAAAGCTCCCCTCTCCTTCCCTTTATTTTTTATCAACCAAACCAACCCCCAAAAAAATAACTAGCGCATTTCTCCCATGTTTTTCTCCATTCTAGTCTTAACTTACTCAGATCAAATTTTGAGGAGACTTGCGGAGAAGATGGTTCAACTTGTGCGGGCTATATATATAAAGAAAATGCAATCCTTCCCAAATATACATATTCTAGTTCCAAATTAATGCACTCATCATGCAAAAAGAAAAGGATTGTAAACAATGATCGATGAGATTGGCCGGGAAAAAGAATGATCAATGAGGCTAGTATCAGAGAAACAATGTCCACAAACTTCAATTCAAGAATTCTTTTAGAAGGTCATCGCATGAGTACGTACAACGTACCTAAAGCCAGTTGGTTATTAAACTGGTCGTATGCGAGCAAGGTAGTGACGTAAAAATCATAATCAAACTGGATCAGATCAGTTAAGAACAAGTCATTTCATTGAATCAATCAAGGCACTAGTTCAATAGAATACCCACCACCGAATTGACTTGAATTTCAATATGCCTGATAATTAAGAGTGAGCTTTCTATTTTGGCCAAGATTATTAGTGTTAGTCAAATCTGCATTAGTCACTCGAACTTGCTCCCTAATACAGAGAAATGCAGGATAACTAAGAAGTGGGAATCTCAGGCTACAGCCAGAGCAGTATTTCATTCTTGGTCAGAAACAAGAAAATGTTTCTTTCAACTCAGAAGCCACAATTATCCGCTAAGACTTCTCTTAAATTTCATATGGACAATGTCATAAACAGCGGCCATGCTAATTTCAATATTTCCATATCAGATTGAAACCAAAACATAGCAGAATTCCAAGCATGACATAAACAATATGTTGATAATACAGAAAAATCATGCATTACCAGAGACAACCTCAACATCAGGAGGATCCCACAGTCTTAAAAGACTCATGAACATGCCTCAGAATCTCCTTGTCTCTGTTCCACTCCGGCGTAGGAGCATTCACGAAATGGGCATAAAGCTTGTTCTTCGCACACGTCACAGAAATCAAACTATGGGTTCCAACCCCGTCGATCTCATACACGTAATAGATCTGGCCGTTCTCGTCCTTCTTCTCCTCCGACGTCAAGCTGTCCGCATTCGCTATCAGATCCTGCAAATCCACGTCCGACAGCGCCAAATTGTTCAGAACCGTGTCCTTCGGAGCTAATTGGCGAAATCCAGAAAGGAAAGTGAGGTACTCTTTCTCTGTTTTCTTCTTCGGATTGAAGAATTCGCTGTCCGTTCCGTTCGTTCCCTTCTCGACCTTGGAGACTAGGCGCTCTTTCCAGCCCTCAGGGACGTCGTAAACGTACTCGGCGGAGTCTTTCTTGCTAGAGTTTCCACCGTAACCGCCGTAGTTGGCGGCGCTGGCGGCCGTGCCGTAGTAGACTTGGTAGTTGGCGGAGGAATCAGCCAAGGAAGGAAGAGGAGTGGTCGTGAGTACGGTGGCAACGGCGGCGGCGGTTATGGCGACGGAGAGCGGTGGCTTGGAGGATGAAATGGGAAGGAGGGTTTTGGGAGACAGAGAAGGTTTGGATGGGGCGGTGGTTGAAGCGGCGGCGGAGGTGGACGAGGAGATGGGTGGTGGTGAGAAGAGGGTGGCCATGGCGGTTTGGATTACATGGGAAACGTTATACCTTTGAGAGGTTGAAAGTTTATGTGTTACGTTTCGTTATCCAAATCCTACTGAGGAGGAGAATGGCCGTGGAAAGATTTTGATGCCTATGTGGCTCTTGTATCACCAATAAGATTGTGCCACGTGATGATCAAAAGGCGTAATGTTTTCCCACAAATCACAGTTAACGACATGCAAAAATCAATAATAACCATTAAGATCACAAAATGTTAAAATTAAATTTTAGGACTATGTTCTTTATTTTTTTCAGTTTAAAAAAAATACTTTGATCAAAGTATCCCAATATAAAAAATTGTACATTTAGTCAAGCTATTAAAGATCAAATCAATCTGATCGATTAAGATACTAGTTTAAGAGTTAATAATTTATATTTAAATTATAATTAAATCATGATTAAATTAATTATAAACAAAATATGTTATTAAACTTTCCAACTAGATAGAATGATCCAAAATTTCATACTATGCATTTAGTTTATTTTTATGAATATTTTAGTCATTATTACAATGATTTGTAAGCTGTGGAAAAGAATCCGGATGCTTAAATTCAATTTCAAGATTTTATAATCTTTAATGCTCATTATTTATTTCCCCATGTCCTTGTTTGTAAATTTTTTTAAAAATAAATCATGTAACTTTTTTCAAATTGAATTTTTTGGCAGGAAATAAAGTGCAAATTGAATTCCTAATTTCATGCATTTGTGTGTGGAAAACCATTTTATTGGTACCAATAATTTTTCTCAATTTTTAATTTGGTACCTCTATTTTTTTTTTCTCTTTTCATTTCCTACTTCAACTTTCTCTCATTAAAGATGTTAGCCCCTGTAGATAGGAAAGTAGCCAGAGGGACCAACTGAGGAGGAGACAATGTTAAGTCCAAAACATTGAAAGAAAACCGAAGACGCACATGATTTGAAGGAAACTTTCTTCTTGTCGGTGAAAGATATCAGCGATGATATTATCACCCTCTACAATCAAATGATCTATGAGGTAAGAGCCAGTGAAACTTGTGCCGCTGATTATGACAATGCCGAACTCTTTTCTTTTAATCCCCAAAATGTTCAGTATCTCTCCCCCATCGAAACCAGCTGAAACTTGTCCCAGCCTCTAATTTCATTCTTCAGTAGACAATAGCTTCAATTGTGGAACATCTTTTGATAGAGTATGAATCTCACATGTCCAACAAGCCCAACAAGATTAAGAGGCTCACAATGTAAAAGTGATTAAACAAGGCCAAGAGGCCAACAATTGATTAGTGGCCCAAAAACAAAAAAAGATCACATAGATGGTTATATGAATAATGATACATCCCATTGCTTCAAATTGATTAGTTTAATAATTTAGATATTAGTTAAAATTCATTTAAGTTTTGTTTTCTATTTCTAGATTAGGATTTTATTTAAAAATGTAATCCCATGATTTTTGAGATATAATATTTAGATTACATCGTTGATTTTTTATTATTTATTATTTATTATTTTCATCAAACTAAGATTTCTAAATTAGGGTTTTTGAGTCTTGAATAAGTCTATTTATAAATATGCATTGTAAGGTATGTTTGAATTTGAATAATGAGATTATTCTTATTGTTAGAGTTTATAGCATCTTGAATACAAATGTGATCAAGAACTTAATCAATTCTTATAATATTTTTGAAGTTAAGATTGTTAAAGGCAGATACTTTAGAGAATCTTCTCCTTAATTTCTATTGTGTTTTTGTCTTTATTTTGACCTCTTCTTCCATATTTTTGTTCCTTTCCTTTGTGTTTCTTGTGTTTGCTTTGTGTTTCAGGATTCTATTCCTAACTACATGATTCTACTTTTGCATCCTTTATCAGTTGGCATCAGAGCTAAGCTTGCTAGTTTGTTAGTTTCCTTTCATCTTTCTTTTTCCTTTTACATTGTTCTTCACTTTAGTTTCATCTTTTGCAGCCATATCTATATCTTTTACCTACTTCTTCTAATTTTGTATTTGCAACCTTTTTCCCCTTCATGCAAAAAAAAAAAAAACTTAAAAATTCGTAAAAAATAAGTAAAAAAAGGCCTAGTTGTGTTGAAAAAAAATAAGCATTAGTGTGCTAAAAAAATCTGAAAATTCCAAAAAGAAAAAAAGTCAAGTTGCAAGTTTGAGAATTGCAATATTAGTGAAAAGGTTTTCTAATTTGAGAGATTCCATTACAAGCAACAAAGTTGCCTATTTTATTAAACTTAGGCGGTAAGATTTTTCTATTCATTTACTTTTCTTTTCTATTTTTGTCTCCATTAGTTACATTCTTATCATTGTAATTTTCTATTTTTCTTTTAGTTTTTTATTTTTTTTGTTTCCTATTTTGAATATCTTTCCTAATTTGGTCTTTGACTATCATTACAAGGTACTCTTCTCTTTGAGTAAGCCCTTCACTTTCTATTTTCATCTAGTTTCTTATTTTGTCTTTTGAGTGTTTGATTCATTTGATTTTTCATTCCTTATTTTGTTGCTTTTCATGCCCTTCTTCATTTTTTTTATGCTTAATTTTATTTAAAAATTTTGCCTTCTTTCACATAGATTTTGAAAAAAAGAAATCCTCTTTAAAAAATTTGTTCATGTTTTTCTAGTATATTTTAATTTGAAATATTTACACCTGATTGTTTGAGTTCTTTGATTTCCCTTTGTTTCATTATTAGATTTTAATCACAAACTTTTGCATTTTAATCACAATGCAAAAGTGGTTAAATAAAGCCAAGAGACAGACAATCAACTAGTGGGCCAAAAACATAAAAGAATTTCATGAATGATTGCATGGATAAATATATCCCTGAATTGCTCCAAATTGATTAACTTAATAATTTAGATATTAGTTTAATATTTTATTTTAGTTTTGCTTCCTATTTCTAGGTTAATATTTTATTTAATAATGTAATCACATCATTTTAGGAGATACAATCTCTAAATTACATGACTTATTTTTATTATTTGTTTATTAGTATTTTCATGAAACTAAGATTTCTGAATTAGGACTTTTGAGTTTTGAGCAAGCCTATATATAGGCGTGTACTTTTTCATTATAAGGTATGCTTGAATTTAAATAATAAAATTATTCTTACTATTAAAACTGATAACTCTTATGAGCTTTAGTATTTACTGTGGCATCTCGTGGTGAATACAAAAATGATCAAGAATTTGATCAACTTTTATGATGTTTTTAAAGGCTAAGATTACTAAAACAAGTACTTTATAGAATCTACTCCTTGATTACTATCGTGTTCTTTTCTTTATTTCGTCTTCTTCTTCTTTCATATTTTTGTTCCTTTTCTCTGTGTTTTTTGTGTCTGTTTTGCGTTTCAGGATTCTACCCTTAACTAGCATGTTCCGCGTCCCCTGTCATCTTCACCCTAATTGTGGTTTCATGCCATGCCAAATGTTTCCTCGTAGACCTGCATCTTCCCCTGGCTCTCTTTAATGGCGTTGAGCTCTCCCCTCACTGTCACTTCTCATATGGCATGATGAAGGGGTCCCTTCGTCAAGAACATGAAAGTAATCTTCACAGCATGCTCACCTTGGAATTTCTTCCTTTTTTGGGGCCATTAAAGCTCGCCAGAACAACTCTTCATCATCTATACTGTGCATGAGAGGTTGCTGGGTATATGACGCAGATCCGCTCAGACTCGGTTGGATTCATGGCTATGGCTGTGGCAGCGGCAGTTCCTCAGCCGTGGTGGTGAGGAAAGGAAAAGTTCTTCTTCTAAGTTGAATGAGAAGCTTTCGAAGTATACACTAATCGTGACACTTAATGACAATCACAAAGAAAATAAAACAAAGAAGGTGGGTGAACACTAACTTGGGGCCTAAAAGTTGGGCACTAATAGAGAGTGCTTAAATTCATTTCCCATCTTCAAAATGACAACATGCTGTAGCAGAATGCAGAAAAACAGAGAAAGCCAAGCTTTACTGATGGAGATCACAACCTCCCTTTTTAGTGTACCGATATCAACCTGTTGCATGAAGATCGCTAGCTTCTTGGTGATTGGAGATAGCCCTATCACACGAACAAAGATTGCTTGTTGAGACCCCAAATCGAATGAAGCATGTTATACAAAGCTTAATCCTTTCGATTTTCTGACCCTTAGGCAATTTTCCAATCTACTGGGTCCAATGCCTTTAACGGAAGAAAGTTAAAGATGGAAATAAAAAAAGGGCAAAAAAATAAAGGTACCAAATTAAAAGTTGAGAAAAATTATATGCACTATCAAAATAGTTTTCCCTATCGGCATCTGAACGGGTATGGAGTCTAGAAAAATATTTGGGATTAAATTTTGTATATAATATAAATGAAATTTATTAAAAAAATAAAAAATATTTATTTAAAATTAAATACTAAAAATATAATAATAATTGTGTCCCAAAGTTTCATTTTACTAATAAATTGAAACCATGACCAAAGATGTAAAAAAAAATTAATTGGTAAAAGATCAAATTTAGTTGTAATTGATTTATAATATTGATTTTAAAAAGAATGTAATAATAGTTTATGAAATAACTATTATTTTAAATGTATAATTGATTTTATAACTCCGCCTATGTTTATAGCCGGTCCCAAGCCCGGGTAAAGGAGGAGGGTTGTGTTAGGCCATCAACAGCCAATGTAAAAATTTGTTGAATCTATCATGAACATGGACAATAGACGTTATAATGTTAATGCTAGGTCGTTGCCCGTAAGTAACGCGCTGCATGGCTCGAGTACAGTGATAAGTGAGTTAGAGCCGCTGCATCGGCGCCCGGATGTAGTGTTAAATGAGCAAGGGCTACCGCGTCATTCTGGACGCACGCGGCTAAAGAAGTTAGTCCATAAGAGCAAAATTAGATTTGGTACTTGGAATGTTGGGACATTAAATTGTAAATCTGTAGAGGTTGTAGGGGTTATGATTCAAAGGAAAATCAATATCCTTTGCTTGCAAGAAACAAAATGGCGTGGAGAAGAAGCTAAGGATATTCAAGGTTTCAAACTTTGGTATACAGGAAAAGTAAGTGCACGCAATGGAGTAGGCATCATTATAGATAAGGAGTGGAAGAAGAA